TCTAAGAAAAAAGAGATGAGACTGGGTTAAATGAGCAAGGGTGTTATTAGGGGAAATGTTTGTGTGAAAGGACATAGGAGAGAATCGGGGAAACCTAAGCAAGCCATCAGAAGAAGGTAATGCAAGTCTGATCCCAAGTGAAGTAGAGAGAGGGAGTAGGTTAGGTGGAAGCATCCTAGATGGCCGTATAGTCTAAGGAAAATCCTTGAGCCAAAGCTGGCCAATAAAGGAATGGATCCGCCTTGATATAGCTACCACATTCAGTCATGAGGGTTGGGGAAGGGACCTGCCCTGGGGGCCAATCCACTATGACTGGAGGAGAGGATCATATTAGAAAAAAATGGCCTGTGCCACCATAACCACATAGGAGATATGATGCAGTGGATTCCAGGAAAAAACAAGAGGCTGGGCTGACCAACATTGCATCCAGTCTTCATACTTCTCACTTTTTGTTAAAGAGGCAGCCACTCCATCAGGAACCAGAATCTCTCAAAATGTGCACCTTGACCTCCGGTTGCAAAAGTCACATTCCAAAGTGCTAAGTAAGTCACATGACACTCATTTTGCTTGGCTCCCAGAGAGGAAAGGCTGACCTAACTCTCCTGAATTTGAACTTGTGATTCCCCGTAGTAAAGAGATACCAGACTTGATCTTGAGACATCTAACTTGTCCTCCACAATTTCACGTGTCTCCAGGTCAAGCCAGCAAACTAGCTCACGCCCATCCTTCTTAACAAGTGAAGAGCTGAGGTCTGACTCATCTTTTCAATCATCCACTCCTCATTTTGTTATTGTTGTTATTGTTTTTCCTGTTTTTTTCCCTTCTTAGAAGAAGGTCAATGATGAGTTAGGACCTTATAATATATAACAGACAAATATTCCATGCTGGACAGAATTTTCCCAGCACTCTTACAGGGTGTGAGGCTTTGCTTAGACTTTACGTCACACAATGCTCAATTTGTTTGGAAAGGGTAGAAGTGGAAACATAGTCTATTGAAAATATCACTGCTTCCTTCCTGAAATTTAAAAGAGCCTATTCATTATCCTTCATTTCAAGTCTCTCTCTCAGGCGAAAGTCTCATAAAGATAGGCAGGGAGAAAAGAAGGGTTTATAATGCCCATGGGGTTAGCTTTTGCTCACAGAATACTGTGCTACTATTCTCTATCAATAACCATACAAATGGGGTTCAGCTCACACTTGTAGTTGGAAGGACACCCATCCCCTAAACCAGCATCTATACCATCTGGGATCCTGGGTAGCTCATGACTTGATCAAAGACAGTTATCTGAGAGAGATTTGGGCCTTGAGGCACCAGATATTGTTTGACCTCTTGGGGAGGCAGTATGGCAGAGCAGCTAACTGGTGAGCTCCAGAATCAGAAGCAACTGGTACAAATTCCAGCAATAGGCACATCTTCGCTGCAAGAAATCGCTTTTAGTAGAAGCTTTGTATTCCTTAAAGGTAAAATGGGCAAGACACTAGTACCCACTTCCAAAAGAACTAGCAGAAATAAATAAGAAAACGTATTCAATTAACATATGTAATACAGTGTCTAGAATGTTATATGGGTTCAAGTGATAAAATTGTTATTCTTTTATTAAAAGAATAAACTGTTTTATTATTAGTCCTGTGTCTATCCGTTTGTTCCTATGTAACCTCAAATTCTATATGAGACTGTTGTAAATGAAATCATCTCAGGAGGTATTGTGAGATTATTGTGTAAACTGTAAAGTGTCTGCAAATGTTAAACAAGATCATTATTATTGCCCTTGTTACTAGCTCTCAGTGGCCTTCTTACTCAAAAGGTTTATGCATAGCTTTCCTTTGAAGTGCTAGGAGCTAGGATTGGAGCAGAAAGATAATGGGAGAATGTGAATGAGCCCTTCAAAGCATTTTCCAGCTTCATAAATATCTGTGTATGATCCACAAAGTGTAATAATGTATATCGCAAATTAAGCCCTTTCCCAATGAGCAGGTCAACCTTTTCCTGAGAGAAATAAATTTCCTCAACCAACCCTTGTGAGCTAGAGAACCAACATTTTTTTTTTGAAAAATAAGCTTACCTTCCCTAGTGTCAATAGGAAACAGTATTTACTTACTACTGTTTTCCTTTCAAAAATCTGTCTAGTTGCATACTAGAAACAGTTTCGGCTGGTTTGTTTGTCTTGGACAAGCTGTTGAAGTGAAAAGTTTTTGCTTGGCTAAATGTGGGACAGTTTCATAACCCTTCAAGAAGTGCACTGAAGGTGGGTGCCAGTTCTGAAGGCTGCCTCAGACAGGCCTCCACTTGCTGCCCATTGTCAACGGTGGCCAGCGGAATTAAATTAGGAAAATGAACAAAGCAACAGATGCAACTGAGACCAAGTCCCTGAGTGCTTTTGTTTTGTCTGTCATTGTCTACAACAAAGAAGTCCCATGGGAGAGCCTGGGAAGAGAGCCAAATGCAAACCAGACGACATCCCAGCTGGTTTTGAGTGGCCTCCATCGAACATGAGTGTGCATGGGAACCATGCTCCTTGGAGCAGGGTAGGCTTCTCTCAAGTGAGTTTCTGCCTGTGGCTTTGCTGTGATGCTGATGCAGACCCAGAAGAAACAGGAAGGATCCCTCTGTACGGACTTTACACCTCAGCTTTGAGACAAAAGGAAAAGAATTTCCCTGTGGGGAAAAGGACAACATCTATGTGGTTGGCCCATCTAACCTCAGTTTCTTTTGCTCCAGTCCTCATGAATTTGTGACACATAGAAGATACCTGAATTTCTCCTTCTGCAAATCTGGGATTTAATTTGGCTCAAGAGGAAGATTAAAGATTAATCATCGCATATGGCTTTCTTTTAATTTCTTATTATTTCATTCTTGAGTATTCTCCTAGTTTGGGTGTTTCTCACAGTCTTAAAATATTTTTGTCTAAGTTGGTAGAAAAAAAAAGTTAAAACTCAAATTAGCATATTTTTAGACCTGTCAGTTAATTTGTTCAGTAGTTTGATAGAGAAGTAGTATTCTTAATAATAGTTATTTGGAGTTTAGAAAGCCACATAGCTGATCAGCTGAGAACTGAACAAAAATGCAACGAGGAGTTTAGGATGACAGCGATCCTATACTGTGGCCCCATATGTCTTTCTGCCATTTTTCTGAAGAACTCCTTTAAGAAGGCAAAATGAGATGTACAAATATTTTAAGACAGAAATACAAATTTACTGGTAGTTCAACAGTAGATGCTTTTATTCAGCAAGAAATCAAGTGGATTAGATAAAAGGTCAATGATATTTGGGAGAAAACTGCCAGGATTTTAAACAGATGGCATTTCACACTGCCCTATACGAATGCCCAATTTTGTTCCACAAGCTTTTTTTTTCCAGTGGCCCCTGAGCTAGATAATTTAACAAACATTTTTTATACAATGATGCCATCCTCCTTCTATTCAGTCCCTACGGGATATTGACCATCAACTTACAAAGTGCTAACTGGCTTTTATGAAGGAGTTGGTGCTAACTCCAATGTTAGGTAGAGCTGAAAAGCATGTGAAAGAACAATTACTAAATCCCTATGGGCCTTAGCTCAGGGATTGGTAGTTGATTCGGCTCCAGCGTCTCATCCTCTCCAGGTATCAGGTCTGGGTGAACACAAATGTCCCTTACAGTGATCTCTAAGCTCCTAACAATGATTGGGTGAGCAGTCACTACCTTAGCCAGAAGGAAGAATTTGGAGATTCCAGCCACTATGGAAAGAACTCTTGTTTTTGGTCCTGATGGAAACATGTTCTAAAAAAAAATTTTATAAAAAAGGCCTCTGTAGATCTTTAAACCCTATTCTATGCTAATAATTATCCATTATATTCTCCTATAAGGGTTTCCTGGTTAGAGATAAAACCAAGAGAAGAAGCATCTTATGTTTATGCATGCAAAGGCCACTTCCTCCTAGATTTCATTTCACATCTTATTTGTCTAAGTAAACTTTGCTATTTAAATATATCCAAGGATAAAATAATAACTATAGGAAAAGTATAAAAACCTGATTCTGCACATTATCAGAGAGTCCATTATACTCATTCATTTAATTCATCCTTCAGTTATGTAGTGAGCACCTGCAAAATCCTGGGTACTGCTCTAAACATGGGCCTGTAATAATGAACAGACAAGTTCCTGTTATCATAAGGCTTCTGCTCTAAGCAAAACTTGCAGGAAAGCATTGCTTATTGATGAGTAAATGGTAGCACCAAAGTCAGGAACCCTGGAATTTTAGTCTAGGAATGGCTACATCCTAGTAAAGATGAAATAATGATAATAAGAGTAAGATAAAATAATAATACTTATATAGTGCTTGCCATGCGCCAGACCTATTATAAGTGCTTTTATGTACTAATTCTTTAATCCTTAACCTTACAAGGTAAAAACTATTATCCCAGTTTATGGATGAAATTGAGACACAAGAAATTTTCACTTGAAGAAGCTCTCAGGGCTAGAAAATGGAAGAGCTAGGGTTTGAGCCAAGCTCAGTATGTCTGTGATTTTACAGAGTCTAAAACAATTACAAATTTCCTCACTCTTCTAATTCTAAATATCTCTTTCTTCAAAGAGAAAGAATGAAAAAGAAATACTTTTTCACAAAAATCAAAACAGAACTAAAATGCAATAAAACAATAAAAAATAACAAAAGATGCTACAGGCCAGGAGACTGAACTTTTCAGGATCTCCTTTCAGTCAATGAATGTGTGATAGCAGCAGATGAATAGAAACACAGTTTTGTGTGGTTATCAAGCAATCTGTGATCCCCATGCCAAAAGGGGCACATAGCAGTCGCTTGAATGAGGTTTAGCTACACTAAAAAATTAAAGCCTATTTACTTAAATGCGTCTTTCTTAGAACAATCTGGCCCAAGCTCTCTCTTAGACTGACTGGTGAGTCTTAAGCTATAAAAGGTTGAGACCCAGCATTAGAAGTAGATGGGTAGGATCTATAAAACATCACCAAGTTAATGTCGCTTTTTCCTCCCTTGCTTTTAGGAAGTACATTTGAAGAACGCAAGTAGAGGGAATGCGGGAAATAAGAGCTACCGAATGTAGGAAGACCTTCCTGGGGAGTGAAGAATGACATCCCATCGGCAGGATCCTTTGCTCTGCATGAATTACCAGTTAAACACCAGAATACCCACCAAAATATAAGTTTGATAACATTTCAAAAGATGGGCATTCCCCCCAATGAAATACACAAGTAAACATTTAAAACATTGTCTTTAGGAGTGATTGTTAAAAGCTTTGCACCTTTCAAAAAAGGTCCTGGAGTTGGTAGATTGCTGTTGATCCTTTATTACTAATGTTCTATAGAGAAAAAATATATGTATGTATGTCTGTATCTATCTATCTATCTATCTATCTATCTATCTATCTATCTATATATATATATCTTAGTCCTTGCCTCTCAAGAGCCACAAATGCATGGGTGTTGTCTAGATCCAGTTGCACTAAATTTGTCTCTGAATCTTGGCTGCTGGAGCCATTCATTCAGCAGTCTTGTCTAAGTGGTTTATTAATTTTTTTTATTTGCACTTCTTTCTATGCAACACAGGCTGTTTGTTTTACAGTGTCTGATTACCTTGTTTGTCTATCGCTGCCCATCCTCCTTCATCCCCATTATATTTGCCCAAATTTGGCCTCCTCCATAGCAGCAGCAAGCAGTCAAGTAGCACACCAATATTTAACCCACCAGATTCTATCTGTGGCACTGGTACAAAATATAAATCAGATGCATTTGCTGTAGACACAAAGCTTTATTTTTCCACATCTTGCTAAAAAGAAAATGCAAATAGTTGCAACTTTGAGGCCAAACGTTCTTAGGTGTATGTGTTAAGTCTAGAAAGTCTCAAACTCTCAACAGTTCCTTCAAATGATGAGTTAGTGTGCGACCTAATTAGTAACTTCTCTTTGATTTTTTTCCATATAGAGCACTATGTAAATTTCACATATCAACATTACAGGATATATCAAAAACAGTATGTAAAACTCTCTTTTTTTAGTACAATGGTGCTATTTTTGTAGTTTGTGATATGAAAGAGTCTGGCCTAAATGGTAAAAGGTGAAAGCAAAACAATAAAAAAAGGATGCCTGGAGCCAAAGACACAGAGGGGAGGGGTCCTAAAACTCCAGTACCCCTGATTACGCCTTCCAAGAGAAACTGAAGACACAAAGTCCACCGATGCAAATTTGTTTGGCAAGTCCTGAGCGGAGTGGAAAAAGCAGAAGGTTAGGAATTTAATAGTCCTGGTTTCTTCTCACCGATGAAACAAACATCTGTCGACTCGGCCGCGGACTCACCACTTTGTGACCTTGGGCAAGTCACTTCACCTCTGTGTGCCTCAGTTTCCTCATCTGCAAAATGGGGCAATATGCCATCTACCTACCTCACAGGGGTGGTATGAGGATTAAAAAGATAAAGCTCCAGATTATTATCCTAAATTGCTACGAGGGTGGAAGGTCAGAGCCCTTGAGTCACTGGGATGCAAGGAATTCTATAAACAGCTCATTCAGAGCATAGTGAGAAAACTGATTAGCCAAAAGCTCCTGACATGCCAATTTTTGTCAATGAAGCTATCTAAGTATCCAACTAGCTAGTTGTTAAAAGTTAGCAATCAGATGATCTCTTTTAAAACACTTTTCAAAATAAGTTAGAAACATTTGATTCACAACTTGATTTTAAATTCTGCATCTGGGTTCATAAATACAAAGTGAAAAGAGAGAAATAAAAAGAAAATAAAGAGAAAAACAAAAAGATTTCTACCAGCAAAGGGGTGATTACTCAATTTGTTAGCACTCACTGATTTCTAGGCAATTTCTAGAAATCCAGTAATACTTCTTTTAATATTATGATTCTCCATTCATTTTGAACAACAGTTATTCCATCTTTAGACGACCTACAAAAGATGGCCCAAGATTTCAACTATTGAAATAATATCTTATAAAAAGTCACAGTTACTTTCTTTAATCAATTTTGCTCTTATCCTTGGCTATATATATTATTATTTTGTTGTTGCTATTGTTAAAATACCCTTGACTAGAGTTTCTAGTTTATAGGCCAAAATTTTCTTCAGAGCTAGAAGTTTTCCCTCATGTCTTCTTAGAAGAATGGTCCCTATGAATGTGTCTTATCCATTCAACTAAAAATTGGTATGAAGAAAATCCAAAGTTGAGGGCAGCCCCATGGTTGAGGGCAGGCCTAAAAAATGTTTCTGGTCTCCATAACAAAATTTTCTTATTAGAACAATGAATCATCCACCATTCGGATCTTTTCTCGGCTTTAGAACTTTTTGGTTGAGAAGCAACCAGGTTTATTATTTCATGCACATTGTACCCTTCTTATTCTTGGAAAGTATATATGGAAAACAAACATTACATGTTTAGTTTTCATCCCACTGGTACACCTCAAGATTCGGAGGCCAGAAATAAAACAATTAAATTAAATTAAATTGAAAAAGACTTCCTGGATCTCAGAATGTATGCAAAAAGAAGGCCTATTTACTGGATGCCCTGGCTCAGCCAACAAGTATTTTAACCCTCACTGCACAGTGTTATTGGAGTTGAGCATCTCTGGTGTACTGAGTGGTGTTCTAACCACTATGGACAGATGTGAAAGGAACTACAAGTCACTTTTGTCCTTCATCTGTTTCCACACATATGGGTTCTGCGGAGTGAGATGCTCTACTCCTCTTCCCAAGATGGCACTTCTAATTTTATTTCTTGTTCCTAGAATGCACCTTTTAAAATCACTGACTCCCAGAGACATTTTACATGTATTCTTCTGCCAACCTAGCTGGATAGGGTAATTCTAAGAGTGTCTATGACTTACTTGATTCACTTAGCAATTCTATTCACAGCCCAGATACCCCAATGAGGAAAGCTTAAATAGACAAAAAGACATAATCTTTCTTAACTTTTTCCAACACATGTCCTCTCCAACTACATCATAAATCAATGAATTAAAAAAGTAACTAATTATTATACTAACCCAGTATCTTATTTGCAAATGAATTAAAACTAGAAGACAATTTGATGTAAACTGCAAAAGTCCCTTGGTCTCCATACACTCCAGCGCTATGTCCCAGGATTGACAGAGAGGGAGCACCTAACATTTCACAACTCAAAACTTCATAAGCTTTGCTTTAAATTTTAAAATGAGGAAATTTCAGGATGTTTATGAAAGAGCCGTACATACTGGTAGGAATTAGCTTTCAACGTATAGGCTTATTTCTGATTTAAATGACAATACAGAATACCTAAGTCAAATTTCTACTCCAGCTCCAGCTTCCCCACATAGTATAATAGCACTATTTGAACATTTTAAGATGAGGATTCTCCCCTGAAAAAGCTAATGAATCTTTCCATCAGAATCCACTCTTCTAGACCTAAAAAAAAAACTCTCCCAATCTCTCTCTCTCTCTCTCTCTCTCTCTCTCTCTCTCTCTCTCTCTCTCTCTCTCTCTCCCCCCCAGAGAGTCCAATGGAATACTTAAAAAATAATAATAATAACTTCCTGGAAAAAGAAGAAAAAAGCCTGGCCACCTTGAGAATCCTTCCCCTCCTGGGAATGTCAATGTTTGTGTAGATGGAACCATCTCATGCACTGTGGCTCCAGGGTTTCCATTACTACTTCGTGCACTAGTGGGATTAAATTGGAGGATGTAGTACAGTTTTGCTTTCCCATTTATTGTTTGGCCAACTATGCCAACGTGGTGCTATTGTTTCTTTAAGAAAGTACTTGACTTAAAAAAAGGAAAAAAAAAGAAAAAAGAAAGCATGGACATTTTTTTTTTTAAGTGTAAAAACGATAATTCTATAGCTAGGTGGCTTCATAAAACAGCACCAGGTCTAGTCACCACCGCCTTTCAACTTCTTATCGCTCACAAGTAGCAGGCTGTTCGCCAAATTGTGAGTGTGGTGGTGTGGGGCAGAAGATGGAAAATTTTTAGAAGCACAAGGATCCACTCTTTTGTTGGCTCTCAGCAGAATTAGCACTATGTCACCCAATCTGAACACCTGGATCAAGAGCATGGAATATAAATGGGGCAAAAAAAAAAAAGACTTTATAGGAAAATGGCAGAACTAAAAGGATGGTTACGTTACTTATTGATTTTTTTTTTTTTTTTTTTTTTTTTTTTTTTTTTTGGTGCGTGCTCTCTGCTCTAAAACAGATATTCAGCAAGTAGAGAAATTACAGAGAGAAAAAATGCATAAATTCACCTTCTGAAAATAGCATCTGCCCCATTTCCCTTGAGTAAATTTTTAGCATTGGCTGGCTTATAGAAAATATGCTCCCTTCATCTAAACATCTCAGAGAGCAATAGCTCCCATGAAAAGCAATCACTAATCTCACTGGGAAGTGTTGGAAAGTATTTCTTTATGAGCTGGGGGTTATCTATTGATAAGGAAAGAGAAGAATTTAGGAGAAAACATTGAAAGAAATGGCTAACAATCTGTGAAGACTTTTTTTAACTTTATATAGTCTTTATGAATATCTTAATGTTCAAAAATGACTTGGTTCTTTCTTCTTCTTTTATATTGGAATAGGGGTGATAAGTTAAACCCAAATAGACTTTAAAACTATAGGCTAAATAGAATGTACGTTTGACTTGTCAAAACTCTAACCTAAAATGTTTTTGCTATTTTTAACCTTAAAAGATTGTACTAATATTCAAGACAGATCCTGTTAGCGCTCTTCTTTGGATAAAGCATTCCCACTCAAATCACCTGGGCTTTCCCAGCAATGTTTTCAAAAGATAAATCTGACTTATGCATCATTGTGGCATCATTGATTTTAAAATTTTAATTTTTTCAAATAGAAGAATTGTGATTCTTTATGCCCCTCTCCTGCAATGATCAGAAAGTCCAGAAACTGAGGAGGCAAAAACAAGAAGAAAATTTTGTTGGTTCTTTGTTGTTGGTTTGTTTGTTTGTTTTCAATGCTAGTGTTTAATCCTATAATACATATTTGCTTATCAATATTTTAATATTCTAAAATATTTTCCTGTTAGGTATTAGAAACTGATGCATAGATATCTTTTTTGTATGATTTCTATTTTTTTTTTTTTAAAAAAAAAAGGAGATGAGAAGACTGTCTGAAGCTTTGAGTGCGTATGGTACAAGATAAAGATATCAATTTAAATAACTAAGTCGTATCTAGAACAATATTTTGCTTTAGGAAAGCTCTTCCTAGATAAAGGCCCAGGGAATTTTTGAAACTGTCTTTATTCCTCCCAGTCCTTATTCATTTAGTATCTGTCTCAAAAATATAGAGAGGGCCTAGAATTAAAGGGATCTCTTTAAAAACATAAGTTTTACACCTTGCCTCTTAATTTCTGATTACACCTTGACCTTCAACATGGTCCCTCTTTTTCCCCGTTCTTCAGCTGTCATTGATAAGGTCTTATGAGGGGGAGAAAAAAGAACATTTTTTTAATTTAAAAAACGAAAACACAAAAGCCCAAATACCACTGCCCAGTTGAAATATGAGTTAACATGGAGGACACAGAGTTCCTCCTACTTAACCCACAGAATCACCTTTAAAATGATCTTTCAAAAAGATCCTTAGAATCTGCCCTCTTTTTTTAATTGCCCAGGCCAACAGTACCTGAAAAATAAATATCACTCATTTTCTTTTGCCCAAAATACACTGATGTAAAAGTAGGAAAACTGAAAACAGAACTCCAAAATCCCTTCCAAGCCTCCCACTAGCCCTACTCACTCACCCTCACTCACTGATGGCCAAGCCACTTCCACTAATCCCTTAACTGAGTTCTTTTGGATATTTATCTTGTACCTGCTGCTATACACACTGCAGGAGGGACTCTGAAACCTCAAGCATCTCCTCACATCTCTCATCTGTGTCTGTGTATCATTAACATGTCTATTCAAAACTTTCAACAACTTTCAAACATCATGCAGCTCAGATTCAGTTTACATAAGGGCCCCAAATACCATGTCAGATCTCTTTTTGCTAAGAGGGTTAATAAACTCTGAGAAATGGGATTACATCATGTGTTTTGCTTCATATGTTTTTATCACACTTACAGGCCAAGTGTGATAAATAATCTTACAGACACTGAATTAATTTTTCCGGCTACTCTGAAAGCAGAAAATGGGGTTCAATGACTTGGTCATTCATTACATCTGTCTTTGTGCACAAGCATATTTTTTATTAAGTGAACTCTGATTGTATTTGAAATTATTATTCATTTATGGCAGAGGAATATCAATCCTAATGACTTCTAAAAATGTAACTAACTGAATCATTATCTTACATTTACTGTTTAATAAGCATATTTTGAAAATGTATGGCTAGAGCGTCATAATAAAGTGATATATCTTTCTTTAGTAATCACATTAAAATTGATTCTGTTTGATTAATTTGTTCTTTTTGGACAATGTTGGTGTAACGTGTCATTCCTGAAGAATTCTATTGTTATCTAGCATTTTAACAATACCAATTGTTAAAATACCAATTAATACATTCTTGTTCAATTTGGTTTCACACACTACAGGCAGATTTATAGCCAATTGCACCTTTGAGTGATAAGCTATTTTTGAACATGACATCATTAAGATAAGTAAGCATTTCTGCTCAATAACGATGCATCTACCTGGGTTTTCAATCTTACCCTGCCCATCTGTCACCCTGTTCACATTGCAATGTCAGTCACAGTCCCTCACGCTGTGTGTATGACATCCAATGGTAAACCAACCTCAGATACCGCAGTGAGAAAGGATATGTCTTGGGCCATCATACAGCCCAGAAATAAACCATTTCTACAGAAAGCTATAAGCTAATCATAAAGAATCTTGCCAAAAGCTCTGACAACTACCCACCCATGGTTTTCCTGACAGCTTATCAAAGGCAGTGTGGTCTCAAGGGATGTGGCTTAATCAGGGCTCCCAGAGACAAAACTGTGGACTCACAGAGTGAGGTTCATGACACCCACATTCCTACATCCCTGCCCTTCAATAAGGCCTCAGGCATCCCACTCCAGGGTTCCCAATGGGTACAGTGCTAGTTCTAAATAGCATTTTGGAAAGGTTCGGGGACATTTGGGGTTGTCACTCACAGGGATGGGGAGGGCACTCTTGGGATTCTAGACATTTCATGTAGATGACAAACCTTCTTATAATCACCTAAGCCTAAAATATATTTCCAATTTATTTATTAACTCAAAGTATTTTTGCATGATTTTAGTGTAAGCTGGATCTTCCGGAAACGGAATGCCCATGTTAAATCAAAGGAAGGGTGGTGCTTTATTTCATTTGGAACTTTACCAAGTGCCGTCCACTGTCTTAGAAAAAAACATCATGGATGCCACTCTCCACCCGTGTCAGTCTTCTGGCAGCTGGCACAGCCAGGATTTGCCACATTGGTAGAAACATCTGGCCATTTCATTTCACTGTCAAATACAGTTATGCCTGAGCATATCTGTCTTGTAATGCACGTTACTTTATTATAAATAGTTTTTTATTTAGTTCTCCCTGATATTACAACACGGGCATCATTTTGATTTTTGTTAGAATTATATAGGTCAACATTACCTATGAATTTCACTTTGGGACATTAAAAGGTATATCGTAAAATAATTGTTATAAAAAAAAAGAGAGCTTTTGGGTCTGATAGGCCTGAACCACTGGGCTGCACATACACACCAACTATGATCCTCTCTGGGTCATAATGGCAGGCAGATGGCAGAGCTTTTGCCCTCTCTACACTTATCTGAAAGTGTAAAGTTGAGCTAAAAGCTGGTGTTTTTCTCACCTTGTTTATGAATAGAGAATAAACCTCTGTGGGATCCAATAAAGGATAATGGTTATGGTGAATACAACATCTGGTTTCTAAATGTTCTTTCCTTCACCCTGTGATGGGACGAGAGGATTTTTGAAAAGAATAAAGCAATCCCTAAAAACAAAAACAGATGTAAATTGGCTTGGAGACAATTGCAGCAGTACATTAGCAGTAAAATTTGACCTTGGATTTCAAGGGAGGTAGGAAATGGGGCCTGGAAGGGAGGTTTCTCTTTTGAATGGTTACTACCAGGAAAGCAGGAGATGGAGTAACTGTCCTATACTTTCCTAAAGCTACTTGGTTTCTTCAACTCAGAGGCTCCTGCTTAGCCTCCAACCTCCTTCAGACGGAACAGTGGGGTGAATCTCTCTCCAAATGGAAAGGGGGCGCGGAGGGAGACGGTCACAGTCTCTCTTCATGGCGACATCTCTATATGAGCGCTCTGACTCCAACATTTCACCTCGCAAACATGGAGCTCCCCTTCCCAACCCCAAATCTCTCAAACATGAGAGAGGGAGAGAGAAAGTGATAGTTCCTCAGAGAAGGGAGACAACAGTGACGGGATTGATACCCAGGATGGTGGTGTCCCCTTATTTGGCCCAGAGCTTCTAATTCAGCCACCCTCATAGAACCTAAGCACCCAAAGATAGAGTTACCCAAAGACCAAATTTCTCTCCGTATTTCTTCTGACTCTCTCTGCTTTAAAAGTCATTTGGAGCCCTGGCCAATGTTGCTTCGTAATTAGAGTATAACCCCATGCTCTAAAGGGTCTTCGGGTTCTAGGCCGGTCAAGGGCACATACCTGGGTTGCAGGTTCCCCACCCTGTTGGGGCACGTGTGGGAGGTAAGCAATTAATGTGGGTCTCTCACATTGATGTTTCTTTCTCCTTTCTCCACCCACCTCTTCCTTCCACTCTCTCTAAAATCAATGGGGAAAAAATATCCTCTACTGAGAATTAACAAAAATAAATAAATAAATATCATTTGGAAATGGAAATATTCCCATCCCACCACACAGCCTAATAAATTCTCTTAGACTGTTAATATTGAAAAGTCTCTTTTGGTATCTAGACCACACTGCCATAGTAAAAGACACAGTGAGATAATTTCATCCATATTTATGCTAGAATGTACCAGTTGTTTATCTATTTGCTCTCTTATCTATTTCCAAACATCTCCCTCATTGTTCTGTTTTATAAAGGACTCATTGCTCTGTTTCATAAAGGACTACATTATGCAGCCCCTAAGTTCTCTACCTCCTGGGTAGGTGTGGCTAATAGGAGGCACTAATGAAGACGAGGGCAGGTGGAAGAAGCTAGGGTATTTCCACCCTGTTCTCTCTCTGCCCCAAGCAGCATCTTTGGCAATAACTGCAATTCCTCCGTACATGATCCCTGCCCCCCCATCAGCATCCTGTCCCCCCATCCATCCAGAAGATTTTTCTCAGAGCACCACCTCCTCTCTGCGTCTGTCTATGTCCTAGGGATTGTAGTGACTTCCCCGTGTTGTTCATCACTGGGTTGGCTCCCCTCTCTTGTCTACTCATCCCTTCCATCACCTGTATTAAATACCCTGTTTAAAATACCTAGAATGATCTCTGCTCCCTGCCTGAACCCTAACTAATAGCCACAGGAATGACATAATGGTAAGTAGCATGAGTACTGGAGTCAAGTGGATGTGGCTCTGACACTTCCGGCTGGGTGCTCTGAACAAATCAATCAACCTCCGTGAGGCTCCCCTTTTGTAAAATGGTACTAATAACATCATCCACCTCATATTGGTATTTGAAGATTAAACATTATCATGCAATAGTTCCTAAATTCTACATTTCTCAAAATAGTGAAATTTCCAAAAAATAAAAAGTAGAAGTTGCAAGAAATTGGCATGAGGTGGCAAAATCTTTATTTGGTTAAAGTGGAGATGTTTTTAAAAAACCAGTCATCACCATTATGTCATTGCAAGGGGATTCATTTAATAACATGGCTGTATCTCAGAATAAAAGGCAGTTTCTTAAATGTAATAAGTTAACTTTCTGAAAATTGATCACATTGGCCGAATCGATTCTTTTCACCTTTTTAGTTTCTCTATGACTAGCTGAAAATCCAGTCCAGCTCCAGTCTGCTCATCAGCTCTTATTCAATGTGATTCCTGACACTTGTACGATTATTTATTAACACTACTTCTATGGTTACTATTAGGAAAATGAGCATTAACTAAGGATCTAAATACGCCACCTTAGCATCTCTTCCCCTGGCTTTGTCACACCCTGATCTATATACACTCTGATTCACGGCCTCCACTTTTCTGACACTGACCA